ATGCCGTAAATACATATATTTATTTCTCTTCATATTCTCTGTTATAATATGTGAGAGAATTGTAAAAAATGTTAAAATTGTGAGGCGAATGCCGACCTACAATGTTAACAAATGCGGCGAATTCCTTAGCCGAAATCTAACAAATGTTCGCAGTCGAACCTGCACCTTCTCTATACTTTACGTTCTCTGCTCTATGTTTTAAGTTCTCTGGTGCACCTTCTCTATATTATACGTTCTCTGTCCGCTAATAGAAAAGAGTACCCCCTCCAAAAAATGAAATATCGTAAATTTGGCAACGCGGTGAACCTTCTGTATATTATACGTTCTCTGTTAACAGTATAGTGATAAATAACAACAAACAAAATGTAATCAACACACATTTTGAAAAATTATTACAAGARGTAAATTTTAAATTGTTAAAACAAAACATTACACTACAAGAAGTACATCGCGAATTTCTAGACCTAACAACCGCTTTTAATTATGCAAAAACTAACAACTTTTACTTCAAGAATAATAAACAATGAACAAAGAGATTTTTATTGGCAGAATTTCTGACACATTTGTAATAATATATAAATATTCTGTCATTGTTAAAATACGTAAAACGTTTATTGTTACGCCAGTCAAATATAATTAATGAAAATTTATATAATATTATACCCATTAATAGCTAGTTGTGATAATAAATTTGTACCAATAAATAAATGTATCAGTAATATGTACTAGACAGTAAAGAAGTAAAACAAAAAAAGAAAATAATGAATCAATTAAACAAATAAGTGAAGGTAATATAATTATAGAAGGAGCACGTGTAATAAATTATAAATCTTACGAACCAACAAACCTCGTACAATCTGTTTAAACTATATAAATAGGTATCGAACTACATTTATAACTATTGCCGTCATTTGTATATTAGCAATATCTACATATATGTATATATTTATATCCTTTAAATTATACTATGCCACATTAAAATGTAAAAAAATTAAAGCTGCAAGAAGAAACACAAAACAGAAACCAACAGATCCTTAGAMAATAATGAAATGAACATTTAATCAGAAAAGATGCCCTAACACTAGTATAAATCAGGAGCTTTATTTCTCAAAGGAGGGGAGTGTTAAGGGACGCACTACGCATTCTTCATATTAAACTAATCAGTATAGCCACAAGCGACGACATCATGCTATAACACGCCACTTCACTACTTTTCCATTCTCGTAACTACAAAACTACAGCCAACAATCTAATCTTATTGTAGCTCTACAAATGAAGACAACACATATCCTCGCCTCGTCTTTGGTTATTAGGTAAACAAGTTTAAATAAAGAACGCTTCGCTTCGGTAGAGCTAAAAATATTTATTTTTGTTCCGAGACCCGGAAATATTAATTCGTACAAGGCGCCCCCGTCGACGATTGGCCTAGTGTGAAAGCCTCAGATGCCTTGGATAAAATTCATACTGTGCACATAACACACTTTGAGTGTAATTGTGTTTGGTTGCTGCTAACTTGAATCCGAGGCCCCACCAGTTTTTAAGAGCCGATGGGTCTGCTTGAAGACCACGGCCACTGTGGCCCAACTATGGAAAACGCTCTATTGTGCCAAGACCAGAGGGCACAGCCAAAASTTTTTTTCTCAACTTGCTGCTGGTATTGTTGAAGAAACGCCCACTTCCACATGTATTAGTCGCATTGATCTATTGCAATGTGTATATCGAGTAGAACGAATGCACAATATCCCACAAGCGAGCAATTGAAGCATCTGATCGCAGCTGACATGATATTCAGGATGATCCAATCTTGGTGAGTGAAGTGGTTTTGGACCAATCGCACAAGGGTGTTGTGACAGCCTATTTAGCAATGTTGTTAGCTCGAAAGATAACCTTACTACTGAGGTATCTCTGAGTTTACAAAAAACCCTGGCTAACGAGGTGTGATTGTGCCAAAGAGCTTTCATCTCACCCAAAAACAAATTGGTGTAAAAAATTAATTAAAGGATGCCACAGGATGTTCTATGCGACGTCATCCTACATCTGAGTATTAACGGTGATGACAACTGGCGATACAACTATATACCTTCTAGAATTCTTCAATTCCCTCGACCTGTCAGCGAGCCTTCTTTTAAGTTGAAACTCAAAGTTCTGTGCCTGTTGTACTGATTCGTAACCAGGACTCGCCCAGACTGTGCAACGGCACTATATTACGTACCATAGAGCTGAGACGGGACAACGTCCAGACCACCGTTCTTACACACTAACTTACCCCTCCAGTTCAAATGTCTAAAATTTTCTTTAAAAGTGTCTTTCTCATCATTCTATCACAATAAATAGAAGTCTAGCACAAACTTTTAAAGCAGCCGGCATTCACCTGGACACCCCCTGCTTCTCCCACGAACAAGTGTAGGCGGTGAGCTCGGGTGTGTCAAGAGCAAGAAATCTTTCTTTTTACGCTTAAAGCAATAAGTCTAGCTACGTTGTTTACCGGGGGATGTGATGCAGTAAAATGATTTCCATTTCTCTGCGTCCAAAAATGAAAATGACATAAGCACAATCAACTCTCTCGTTCTGTCAGTCATCAAAATTTGTAAATTTATTCTTAAAATGCTCCAATTTACAATATTTTGCTTTTTAAAATGTGAATAGTCATTATTTTTACTGTTAACCCTCTCATATTCGAATTAAAATGGGTGGGGCTAAAAAATATTTGAGTACTGATATGTTTTAATCGCGACATGAATATGAACTGATCAAAATTTCATAGTCCTAGGTGTCCTGGTTTGGGAGTTACAGGATGTTGTCTATAGGCAACATTGGGCAACAGTGTATAATAATTATTTTGTTTTTTCTAATTGGCTTCTTTTATTGAAAATTGTGTATGATAGGACACAAACACATTRCAAATTATGTATGGTATGATACGAAGCAATTTTTTTGTGGATTGCAGCACAAGTAAACGTTGCATTTGCTACATTTAGATCTGGGAAATCCAGTGTGGCATAGCCTGCATCGGCCTTTTGATCCCCATTGCACCCAGTGATTAGACGTATCGCGTTGCTCTTGAAGGTTCTGCAACATACGCTCTTGTAGATGGGGTTTCTTCAGAGGCCATTGAAGGAGCCGGCGAGGACTGAGACGATGACATAGGTGATGAAGTAGTTAAGCTCATTGTTGCAAGAAGTAAAGGGCGTCCTCTTTTCCTTGGTACAACTGCTGTTTGACTTGCATTCAAAAGTTCAATCGCAATATCCAACTGAAATTTTATAAGAGACATATGCTTCAACTCGCCGTTCGTATTTTCCAGGTCTCTACGGTATAGCAGCCAGCTATTGACTACAGCGGAATTTATACACCAGTACACTAAGTACGTGTACCATTTATTCGAACGGTGGTTGATTCTGTACAATTCCAACAGCACGTCAGCAAGATCAACCCCTCCCATGTGTTTGTTGTAGCAATCTACTATACCTGGACGASGGATACTTACATATTTCTTGTCTTTTCGGCACCATCTCTTGCACTCACTCACGGGGTTTTTACCTGCATAGTTTGACACTAATTGCACACCTTTATTGTCGTACCAACGACAGGCAATTAAGTTGTTCGTTTCTTCGAATTGAAAGTCGCTTGATCCGCATCCTTGTTTTTGTAGCTCCTTATCACTTCTTAGAGCGCAATTTGTCAACCTGTTGCTTCGGACTGTACTAACGGCTAATATTCCTTTTGGTCTAAGAGCAATCATGAAGCTAATTGAAGTGAACCAGTTTTCAAAAAATAGCTTGAAATTTTGGTTTCTAGGAATATTGGAGGACAAGTGTAGAGCAATATCCGATGATATGCCTAATCCAAAAGACACGTTCCCTCTCCAATGTAAAGGGTGAAATCATAAATAATTCCAGATCCACCAGCTCTAGTAAACATTTTGAAACCCCACTTGAGGGGCTTCATTGGCTGATATTGCTTCAAACTATGTTGACCTAAGGAAAGAACATGTTTTTGCATTATTTAGAATTTATTACATCTCTTCTTTTTACTACATATGTGCAAATACTATGAATTACCTTTGAATGCAATCATTTGTTCATCAATGCTCTGATATTCTTCCTGCAGAATTTCGCTGAATTTCTTGTTTATGAAGTCAAACAAAGGGCGCACTTTGTATAATTTGTCATAATCTGGTTGGCCCTTCTTAGGCTGCAAATTGCTATTGTTTAGATGGAAAAACTGTTTAATTTTTTCAAATCGGCTTCTGGGCAAASCATTTGCAACGGCCGCTAGTTTGAAATTTTGAGCCCATGCCGTTCTATGCGTTGGTATTTTCACCACTGCCAAGTATAGTAAAATGCCAACAAACTTTTTCACTTCTTCCACAGTACATTTCAATTCGGTGCCTTTTTCTTTGCAACGCATATAAATTCGTTTCGTCTCAGATTTTTTCCAACAGCTCATCCACAAAGAACTCTGTAAAATATTCCAAAGGTTGTTTCACCTGATTGCAGCATAATGCACTTTTCCAAGTGACATCGCATTCTAAAAGCTCTGTGCTGCTCCAACTCAAAATCAAATTTCTCTACCACCTCTTGTACAGTTTCAATATTTTCGTTTTGTTCYGCGTTTTCTTCTGTACCAAATAATTCTTCGATTAAACCAACTTCGACCCCTTGATTTTTTTCAATGTTTTGTAACGTTATTTCGATCAATTCTTCCACATTTTCACCTTCTTCTTCCTCTTCTCTTTCCATTTCCTCATCCTCAGACCTCTTCAATTTCAGCTTGTGTCCAACCTTTTGGACGCATCTTAGTATGTAAACAAGTATAAGATAACACGAAACATATTCATAATTATAGCTGACGCTAATATTTTAATAACAAATACAGCTGAGCTAATATTTCTCAATCAGAAATAAAGTTATAGCTGACAGTAATATTTTCGTCAACAACAGGAATCGAACATCCGCCACGAGCCACAAAGGTGCAATTCCACAGAACTGCAAGTTACGGGACAGGTAGATTAAGGTTACTTTTTAGCTTGAGTATAAAATGTAAAATCAGGTGCAATTAACAGTTTAATAAAGAAGGTCATGCGGACCCAATTAAATAAAATAACTTTTTTTTCGGAGCTCTAATAAAAAGCCCGATAACTGGCGCCGAGCAATGTGTTAACCCTTTCGCTACAAGTTTTTACTCAGTTGCAAAAAAAATCMAATTTTTTGAGTGTTTACTATAGTTGGCCCTTATTATATATTCAGAAGTAAAAAATGCTAGTGTGTTTTTGTAAGTTTTTATTTATTTCRGAAGTTATAAAACTTAAAATTCAATTATTACAATAAAATCAAATATTGAGAAAGCTTACATACTTAAATTATTAGAATATAAAAAGAGGCTAAAACTTACAAGAATATTTTTTAAAATTAGTCCTAATGAAACCTTTTCTAAAACCCGATTGCATTGAACAGGTTCTGAAAAAGATTCTATTGGAATTGATTGAAAAAACTTTTTTAACATGCATATAATCTAAAGGAAGTAATAATATCTTACTAATAATTCAAATATTACACTTTGAGCATCTGTATTTTGTTTGACGCTTACATCCTTTCATTTTGCATCTTCCTTTGTCTGTTGTGTGTTCCGGTCAATGTTGATTTCCGTCATATCGTGAAGAAGTTGAGGCAGTAGTAATACGCTTTTTGTTTGTGATCGTGGGAGTAATAGGAATATCTTGATTTAGGCTTGACGTTGGGCGTCCTCTTTTACGGGAACATGTTGTTGATTGGCCCGAGCTAAAAGCCCATTTGCCATATCGTTGCGAAAGCTCAATAGGTCCATATACTTATTTTTCGGGTTGTTATTTTCGTGGTCCATTCGATAYTCTAACCACGAGTTACACACCGCCATATCAATGAAATGTTCAAAAATTTTAAGAGTCCAYTTCCTAGATCTTATCGAAATTCTGTATAAAGAAAGGAGGAAATCCATTTTATCTACTCCTCCCATATTGATATTGTACTCTGATACAATACTTGGTTGTATTATTTCAATATTTTTCTTTTTTTCAGAAGAAAATCGGGAGACTTTACTCACGGGTTCATGGCCATGGATTGATGACACAAGTTATACAATGCCYMCATCTAACCATCTGAGAAGAAAAATATTATCTGCTCTTTCGACTCGATAGTTAAAATTTCCACGGCCTTTTTTCTTCAGTTCTTTTTCAGATTTTAAATWAATTTTTCCGAATCTATTTCCTCTTATAGTACCTGTCGCCCAAATCCTTTTTGTCTTAAATGTAATACTAAATTCAAAGTAGTAAAACAATTATCAAAAAATAGGTTATAATTTTTTACCTCAGGAATAGTTTTTGCTAGACGAATCACTATATCAGAACAAAATCCCAGCTTTGAGACACTCAAAATTGTCCCTTTTCTCTGACATATTTCAAAATCGTAAACTATGCCTTTTGAGATGCAAAGACAAAATATCTTCATTCCCCATTTGATGGGCTTGTTGGGCATATACTGTCTCAGACAGGTTCTACCTTTAAAGGGGACTATCATTTCATCCACAAAAAGATTTTCATCTTTTGGAATAACGCACGCTTTTTTTTAAACATATTTATAATAGGGCGAATTTTGTAAAGTTTGTCTCCCTCTTGTGGGTCTGTTGTAAACTTTAAATTATTTCGTACAAAATGGAATCTTTGCCTGGAYATATTTTCCGGGAATGACGGTATTACGGTACCAATTGTCCAATACATTTCCAAACGCGGATAACTAATGGTACCAATCATTATTTGTAGACCTAGATATTTYAGAAGTTCTTCTTTAGTTAAATTAACGCCTTTTYCATTTTTAAWAATTGAAGCCTGGTTTGTTGAAAATACCACTTGTTGAAGAAATTCTTCTATAAAGTACTCTAAAAAATACTCCATAGGTAATTTTGTATTTTTCTTTGGGTATGTTTCAGAAAAAGATGTTTCTGGACTAGTCCAGGATGCTCTTTTCCAACGAAATTCTTGAACTTTTTTAAATGGAACCTGTGAAGTGTTAAAAATTATTGGACTCGTCTGAACTGCCCCATCAACTACGTAACTGTCTACTATATCAAAAATCTTATCATCTTCATCGTTATTGTCTACATCAATATCTTTTATGTTGGTCTCATATGGACCTTCCCTAGAAAGTTCTTCTAGTATAATGCTGTTACTTCTATCGAGTGCACCAAATAAATTGTTAATAACTTCAGATTCTTCTGGTTCGTCCAAATCAGAAACATCGCAATTTCAGCGTCCTTTAATTTTTTTGCCATTTTTTAATTAAATAGATGATATCAGAGCTAAAACAAGAACGTCTGTATCATAGCAGCAACATACGTAAAATGATTTTATTTGTATTGTGTTTTATCATTTAGAACCACAACTTGTGTTTGTATCCATATGGATACATGCAATGTTTAAAAAATCCGCAGAGCTTTTTTTTTGTTTAAACCATAAATTTAATGATGCGAAAAGTTAAAATAAGTACTTTTCTTTATGTTGAGTGTATTTTTCTTTTAAAAAAAATGCAATTATATGAATGTTATTTGTAAAATCAAAAAACATCGTTCAAAACAAAAACAAAAAACAAAATAAGTAAATTTTTAAAAATGCTATATTATTCTCGGTTTTATAAATATCCCAATGTTTTTTATGTAGAATGATTCATAAGTTCTTAAAAAACGGTGTAATGTCGAAATGTAAGTCAATTCTTTGACTTGGCGTATTTTTAAATGCTTAAAAAGTTGAGTGTATCCATATGGATACAATAGAGCGAAAGGGTTAAACATGCAACTCACAAAGTACCATAAGCAGTACGGAAAGCAACTCAAAAAAGTACCATAAGCAGCACGGAAAGCAAGCAGCGGAACTGACWTTCTGGCATCGAGGGAGTGAAAGAGTGCGAACAAGTACCGAGAGGAAAAAGGATAACTGCACGGTCACCGGCCATGGGAGCGAAGCTGATATCTATGTAAGGAATAAGTTAAGTTATTTAAATTTAATAATTAAGAATATATAAAAAAAAG